TATCTCACTATCGAAAAAGACTATATTCTTAAATAAAGAATATATTCTTAAATAAAGAATATATTCTTAATTTCAGAAGAATATCATCTAAAATCTTTAAGAAGATTTTTTAAGTATAAAATCTTCTACTTACGAGAATATAATTTTTTCGGTGTATGATTTATAATAGGTTTTTTTTCTCTACAATAAATATATTCTTCAATCTGTCAGTTGTCTTCGAAGCAGAATGATGTTTCGCATCTTTCTGTGTGCGGCTGACGGTTACTGAATTGCCATTTCCTCCTTTTTTTTTCCTCAAACTGAAGAAGATCACATAGTGGATCGAAACGTTTGCATCAATTGTTAAATCTTCGAAATAAAGAAGAATTTTAGCCGAACATCTTAGGTGTACAGCTCGTTATTGCATCCTCCCTATCCTCTCGTTGAAATCTATTTTTTTCTGTCACGAATTATTTGTTTATAACGCCAACATCTGGTTTACATATAAAAATATATTACTGTTCGAAAACAGATCGACGTGTCACAAAATTAACATAAAAATTCGTATGTTCCTTCTATAAGTAATGTTTACTATTTATTTATTTATTTATTCACATCAGCCTTCCCGGCCAAGAAGAGAGAGGACTTGGTTTACAAGCTTTCTAATATCATCCATCCATTCATACCTTAACGTCTCCCATTCTCCCAACCTACACATATCGTTTTCTTACCCTAACTACTTCTACTTTGTACATTATCTTAGTTAACTTACGTCTAAATTGCACTTAACATTGTCCTTCTAAAATCCACGCATATCTTACAACTTGACACTTACATCTATTCTCTATCTCCTATAACTTCTCCCAATTGTGATTAATCTCTAGCTTTCTTCTTCTTCTTGTTGACTAGAAAGAGTTTGTACTAATTTGCTTCCTTCCTTCTTTCTTTTTTCTTTTTCTTTCCAGACTCTTACTAAAATTTCTCCTTTCTCTTTCTCTAGTTTATCATTAAATATTCTCTCCAACATTTCCTTCGCATCCTTATCTAGATTATTAAACCATCCTTTAGCAATCTCAAATTCTCCTACGTAATGATTGAATTCATCCCTTCCATTTTTAAATAATGTTTACTAAAATTTTTATTGTCGAGTTACGTCTCGGAAAACACTTTTATAAAAGATAGAAAATATAAAAAAAGTAAAAACAAAAATAGAGGTACGTAAAATATAGACATCGCTCGTATCATGTTTGCATCGATCGATTTAATCGTGATCAGCGAACGAAAAGTATATATGTGTATCAGTCGCGATAGCGTTGTCGATTTTCACCGAGTAGCGGTGCTCGGAGATACTTCGGCTGCGTTCCGACAGTATTAACTGCCAGTACTGAAAATCTATAGCACGTGCGACATCGAGTATAGATTTGTAGTGAACACATCGGAATGCAGCTTTAATAGACTTTGTTTTCAGTAAGAAAATCTTGGCGCGCAACTTCGTGGACCGTCGAGCACTGACAGATTAAAAATTAATGTCTCGAAAGTAGCCACGAGTATCGCGAGGAATATTACGTTTACGTATATACGCGCGGAATGAAAATTCTCCAGCTTGTCAGACTGTCAGAGAAAGAAATATCCGACGGCGGCGGTGGCGGCGAGTGTACCCTCACTCTACCTCTCAGGGAATTCTTATATTTCTCCCTTATTCCTTCCCCCCTCCCTTTCCCCGCGTGTAAAGCGCGTTTCGCTATCCATTTTCTCCGCCACGTTCAATATCTGAGGGTGGAGAGGCTCCGAAATTCGCACTGGCTGCAGGTAAAAGACCTCGTGACGACGCAGGGAGAAAAGTTCCAGATGTACAGAACCGACGTTGCATCAGTGTTTTCCCTCGCGATATGTACTTTCTGGCAATCCCTCAAAAATATACATATGTATATGACATTTAGACAAGAATGGTAACTAGTGACTCATTTGTAATAACAGTAGTTTTTTTTTTTTTTATATTGAAAGACTGCGCTTATATTTGTATGATATTACACACACATGTGCTCTTATATCAATTATCATAAAAGCTATATATAAGACGCAGCGTGAAAACAGCGCAGAAAAACGACAAAAAAGAAATAATTAGTTATATACCTTCTAATTTTCTCCCTTTTCTTCTGATAATATAAAATTATGTATTCTGAGATAATATAAAATTATGTATTCTCTCTAATACGTATATTTTCTAATATTTTTCTATATAAATATACGCTGTCAATTTTTTTGTAGTAAATTTTAATCGATTATATAATAAAGTTACTGCAAATTTAGACGCTATTTATATTAAATGCAAGCGTAAACCTAAGAACACATAGTTTGTATTTGTAATATATGTGCGCGCACGTCTATGTGTGTGTGTGTGTGTGTGTGTCTCCTTCTCTTCTCTCTCTCTTTCGCTCTCTCTCTCTACATCCAACAACATTTCCGTGCAATTTCCAATACGCAGTTTTCCATTTCCATTCTCTTATTAACGTACGGGATTATTGGCGCTATTTAGGTTGAACTAACAAGAATTCATAACGATGATGGTGATTAATACAAATTTACAATTTACAGTTTATCAATGCAAACAACCTCAAAAAGCGACAATTTTGCAGCGTTTTCGAATCGAGAGTCGCTTGAACGCGCGTCACGAGTAATATGCGCGCTATTGTGGTCGGAACGGGGGAGTATTTAATCAAGTAGCGAAATTGATATTAAACGCGTGCGCGGATTGTTGAAATGCGTAACGCGAGTTTGCTATCAAAAAAAAAAAAGATACTGTATATATAGATATACTATAAATAAATTACGCTTCGCAATTACGCAAAGAATGTTACACCCTCGCATCGACCTGCTTCCAACTTCTCGTTATTGGCTCATAAAAGGCCGCCCGAAAAACATTAAAGTCAGCAGGGAGCGAGTAAAGCCAACAGTGTGCCCTCCTCAAAAGAATGTATTATTCATGCCTCTGTGCGAGAGGCCCT